AAAGTTTAGTGTTTCTGTTTTAATATTTAGATCTTCAATCCACTTGAATTTTAGTTTAGTGCATGATGAAAGATAAGAGTCTAGTTTTAATCTTTTGCAGGTCAAAATACAGTTTTTACAACACCATTTAATAAAGAGGCTTTCTTCCAGTGATGATGGTTGGCTACTTTGTCAAAGGTGATACTAACATTGATGGTTATAACTGATATGTACTGACTTCTTACTGTCATGTTATTGTCCTTTCGTTGACTCTTTTTACTCCCCCCCCTCCTTTTTGTTTCTTGCCTTGCCTATTTGATTTGCCCTGTTGGTCCTCATGGTGTTTGACCTTCCTTGTCCTTTTCTAGGATATTGTTTAGAATTCCTTGCAGTGCTGTTTTGTTGTTCATGAAGTTTCTCAAGTGTTCTTTGTCATGGAAGTATTTTATTTCCCCATTCACTTTGAAAGAGAGTTTTTCAGGATACATCAGTCTAGGTTGGAAGTTGTTTTCTTTTAGGGCTTGAAATACCTCACTCCAGGATCTCCTTGACCTGAGGGTTTGTGTTGAAAAGTCTGCTGTGATTCTGATGGGCTTCCCTTAAATGTGATTTGCTTCTTTTCTCTTACTGTTTGTAGTATTTTGTTCTTCAGTTGGGTTTCTGGGATCTTGATTATTATATGTCTAGGCATAGATTTTTTTTAATCATAGCTAGTTGGAGTCCTATAGGCCTCATTTTTCTGTATGTCAAATTCTTCCCCTCTCCTTGGGAAGTTTTCTGTCATTAATGCTGTGAACAGCTTTTTAAAAGTCATTTGTATTTTCTCTAGCTACTTCATGGATTCCTATCAGTTTTATGTTATTCGTTTTTGCATCATCTAGGAGTTGTTGGATTGATTTCTCATGATCCCTTACTGTTTTTAAGAGACCTCTCTTTTCAGGGTCACTGACAGCAGTCCAATCTTCTACATCTGAGATTCTATCCTCACATTGTTTTATTCTGTCGCATACACTTTCAATAGAGTTTTTAAACTCCTGAATATCTGTTTGAATCTGTTTTATGGATTTCATTGCTTTCCTCTGTTGGGTATTCATTGTTTCTATTTCTTTCTTATCCTGGGCCTTCATGGCTTCTATCATGGTCCTGAGCTCATGTATTTTTTTTCTCAGTTTCTCTTCTAGAGTCTCGAATCATGACTTCCATTTTGCTCACCATGTCAATGGTTATCTGGGAAGTTATTTCTCTTTTGAATTTTTCTAGAGCCTGATTGCTCTGTTTTGTTACTTCCTGTGCAATGAGTTCAGGGTGTCCTGGTGGTTCACTATCAGACTTTTCATCCTAATTTGCCCTACTGTTTGCCATAGGTGAACTGCAAGTCTGTCTTTGTGTCTTGCCTAAGTGTTTTTTTATTTTTATTTTTGTTGTTGGGTTTTCCTTGGTTGAATTTATCGGTTATTACTTGAATCTTCCTGATATAGTTGTGCTTTAGCTTTTGAGTCTGTAATGACTCATAGACATTCTCATTTTCATAATATCAGAGAAAACTACTCATTAAATCAATCACAATCCTTTATCACAATTGATGCAATCAGCAGCACAATAGGATCAAGTACAACTTGCAAATTGACCACTTGTCATAGTCATTAATCCATCACCTTTAAACCATGTGAATTAAATTAAAATCAAGAGGTAGCCCAAAATATGTTTGCAGTGAATGTGCTTTTCAATATATCATCTTTACCATTTAGGATGGGGGCTTAGACAGCGTTAGGGTGAGAGGAGTAGATAATTGAAAGAATTGGAGAAGGTTTCAAGTGAAGCCAGAGGACATAGGATGACCATAAAATCTTTACAAAACTATTAAATTCAAATGGATAGACAGAGTGCAAGAATAAGGATAAGAATATATTCTCTAACAGTAATAGGGGATCACTTTTCCTTGAAACTATTGACCCATTAGTGAGCTGAAATGACAGAAGAAAAGAACATAAAGAAAAAAGAAAAAATGATAAATGAAGAAGCCTGAGTTAGGGCAGGAGCCATAATAGAAAGGGAGATGAGGAATAATATGGTGGAGCAAGAGACTAAGTTGGAGAAAGAGGACTAAAAAAAGAAAGAATTTGCAAAGTGGAATGAGGAAAAGAAAGAAAAAATGAATTTGAAGGGCCTCTTTCAGACTATATCTCTACTGTCATAATATACCACGTGCACAGCCATGTGCAGAACCAAGTCCCCTAATCTCAGCTAGCCAATGGCAGATCCCCATGACTTAGACTGACCTCAGGCCACAAGGCCCATATTGAGTTTCCCAACCTGCAAGGTTGAACTCCACACAATTCTATTACAGGTTTCCCCCACCCTTTCTTTAAAGATGTTCAAAGTTGGGAACTCAGAAAAATACCCTTTATGACCATCTATGCATCTGCAGAATGGGTCCAAGGCCTGGCCCAATCAGGAGGTCTGTAGGGGGGGTGCTGTTTTTCAGAGGTGCCTGCATGGCTACCTTCCTCTCTGGGGTGGTGGAGACAGGATACTGATAAAAGCAGAGGATTCAGAAATAAATTTTCTTTAAATACATGCAGTTATTTGGAAAAGGAAAGTACAGAATGTCCCATTATGCAAAAAAGAAAATGACATGAGATATCTGAATATTTTATTTAAATTTCATTAAATTGAATTATTTATCTTTTGTTCTACTGCTATCTACTTTTCAAGCTAGCCTTATATTATATGTACATTACCTATTAATAAATATAATAAATATAATTATATTTTCTTTCTCATTGAGTTTATTGGCACATATTCAGTATACAGTACAGTTACATTCATTATTGTGATCTTGTACCCTTACATGACAGGTCTTGTTCCTCATTTTTTCCCATTACTGCTGGCCTCCCTTCATGACAGCCTCCCTTCAAAATTTACAAATAATTAGTTTCTATTTTTTCAGTTTATCATGTTTTTTTTCTTTTCCCTTATTTCCTTTCCCTTATCCTTCCCATTTCCCCTATGCATTTAGCCCTTTTATTCCTATTTCACTTTGTCAATTATACCTTTAGGATCTTATGTACCATTATAGTTTTTCACTCCAGAGACATCCATTATATGTTTAATCCAGGCTTCCTTCAGTACTATGAGATCAACCTAGATGTCAAAGTTAAAAACAGCCTGTCACATTTTGCATACTAGTAAGGGGAGCCTGATTCCAAATTAAATTGTCAGTTTTTTGTCTTATACACGAGTCATGATGTTTCTTAACCATCATAAAGGTTTCAGTAGGGGTCATTATGTCTACATTGTAATTATGGGAAAATTAAACTGTTTGCAGTTTTCAGAGTTGGAGAGAAATCTAACCTGAATTGCTTTCTCTTGTAGACATGGAGGAGAATGATTTAAGAGAAGAGCAGGATGTGGACAGCTTCAAGGAAGGAATGGATTGGGGAGCAGGCATGAGATTAAAACCAATCATTGTATACCTTCTCCATCTTTGATCTTTACCTCCCAAATTTGATATCCTTTCTAAAATGGATGAAGCAGTTTTCACTTCTTTCTCCACAGTGATCTACTTGGGACTGCTAAGAGCAGAAGAGTAAGGGATGGGTCCTTCCTAGATGGACAGGAAAGAAAAATGGTCATTTGGATTTTCAAGGAAATATGTGCTATGATTTGTGTGGTAAAATATATTGTGTGTGTTATCACACAACCTTGTGTAAATATTTTGTTCCATTGAGTTTACTGATACTTTTTAAGTATACAGTACATTTCTTCACTATTTTCTGTCTATGAACTTATAATTCATTACACAAAATGCAGTGTTGCAATTTCCTTTGAAAATAGTGATATGAGACCTTTCACTTATAAATATTGTGTAGATAAAATGAAACAAATTACATTGAGTAAATAACTTAGTTGCTGCCAGTAAGGAAATCTATAGGTATTGCTTCACGATGTTATGGGTATTTCATCCTTACCACCAACTTCCTTGTGTCTCCCATAATTCTTTGAGATGATGAGGAAATATTTTCCTGACACTCATAGTATACTACCATGCCATAGATGTCTATGAGAAGCAGGACCGGTGCCTGAGAAAAGGCAATTTGAATGCAATTTTGGGTCCCCTTAGAAATCAAGTACAAACATTTCACAGTTCTCTGAGCTGAAACTGTGCACAACCATCATCCCATCCCACTGTCTAAATGTCCTCATGGTGGGAAGTAATGTTTCCATCAGTCTTTCCCTGTCCATTACTTTCTTAGATAGGCTGTGGTCTACTATAGAATGTCCAAACATATGTCACACTCCTCACCTCCCTGAGGACCAGAAAAAGACTGAGGACAGCTCAGAGGATTGATATGGCAATGTTAAATGTAAGCTTCCTGATTTAGATGAACATGAAGGAGGGGACACAGACATCTGAAGATATATTTAGAAAAAGAGAAATTGACAGGTTATGTTATATCAAACACCTTCCAATCTCAATGCATGCAGCTGATAACTATTCATATTGGTCCACATTATTCCAATCTTGGAAAAGTCTGATATTCAATGAAAGTTTTAAAAAAGAATGTCACCAAGAATTTAGGCTCTTCATTTACACAGAAGAAGATTTAAGAGTGTTATTACCTTTGATAATTTTCTTTCTTTTAAAGCAAGCCCTCAGCTTTTCATTTCTATTGCTCATTGTGAAAAGATACACATATCTAAAGGTTTGATTTTAATTATTTTCAGGTGCACAGTTTGATTACATATATGCTAATATATTTTTTATGTGACTCCCATTTTTACCCATCTCCAGAAATTTTTCCCTTCCCACACTGAAAAGTGCTCCTTTATGAAGAACACTATTTACTACCCCTTGAACTCCCGTAGCTCAATAAAGAAGCATAAAACAAATTAAAGACCTCAAACTAGAAACCATGAAACTAAGGGTAGTGTATTTATAGATGAGTTTTGGATTTTCTTTTTTTAAATCACATTTTCTAAATTGCATTCCAGATACATGAATGGCAAAGGTCCTGGGATTAGATTTTCCAAAAGTGGAGCCTCTTCAGGGTGCTAAGAATGTCCCTGTTCCTCAGGCTGTAGATGAATGGATTCAGCATCGGGGTAACCACAGTGTACATCAGTGAGGCCACCATGCCCTTTCTGGGAGAATATGATGCACTTGATCCAAGATACGTTCCAAGGCCTGTTCCATAAAATAAGCAAACAACTGACAGGTGAGAACCGCAGGTAGAAAAGGCTTTGTACCTCCCCCCAGATGATGGAATTTTCAGAATGGTGGAAAGAATTTTATAGTATGAGAAAATGATTCCTGACATGGGAAAAAAACCAAATAGGATGCCAAACATATATGTAACTATGTTTTTGATTATGGTTTCAGAACATGAAATGTCAAGGAATTTGGAAGTTTCACAAAAGAAACTAGCAATTTCTACATCTTTGAAACAGGTAACTTGTAAGGCTGTTAAATTCTGCAGCTGGGAATCCACAGCACTAACACAGACTGACATAAAAAGTAATAAGTGACAGTAGTGAGAATTCATAATGACCATATAATGAAGGGGGTGGCAGATGGCCACAAAGCGGTCATAAGCCATCACACTCAGAAGCACGCTGTCCATACATCCAAAAAAGATAAAAAACGACATCTGAGTCAAGCAGCCCACATAGGAGATGACTCTGCTGTGAGTTAGGATGTCCACAACCAACTTTGGGATTGTAGAGGAGGTGAAACCAATGTCAGTCAATGACAGGTTACAGAGGAAGAAGTACATGGGGGTGTGGAGGTGGGAGTCAGAGCTGACGGCCAGGATGATGAGCAGGTTCCCGAGCACTGTGACCAGGTACATGGACAGGAACAGTCCAAAGAGGACGGGCTGCAGGCCTGAATCCTCTGAGTAGCTCATGAGATAGAACTCTGAGATGCGTGTGAGATTATATCTTCCCATGTTCCTTGAGCACGTTTAAATAAAGTTCATTTCAAAAATGAAACAAAAGTATCCCCTGAACTCTTCATATACTCTTAGTTCAAGCATTCACAAACAAAGAATTCCTAGCAGAGATCCACAGTCTTCATCAATATGCTCTATCGTGATAAAACCCAACCTCTAGGACTCATTAGTGGTTGATTTGTATTCCACCTCCTCTGTGTTCTCTCAATTTTCTCATACTGTATTGCACAGTGCTAGCTGCTCTCAGACATAAAGTCCTGAAGTCCTGGATCACAGTAAAATGTGGGAAGCTTTTATCCAAAATATATAGAGGGTAGTTAAGCCATCCTCCTTTAAGAAAATCTGATCCTATTGGAAGAAAATTGAAAAGCATTCAAATATTCTGCATTTCATACTTGTAAAATGCTAGAAATTTCCTTGATTATGGTGTCTACAAGTTGTATCAAATCTAGGACAGCATTATCTGAAAATTAAAATTGTTAGTTCTCTTCAGGCAGTATCCTCTGTTTTGAGCTATCAATGACAGGTTGCAAAGGAAGAAGTACATGGGGGTGTGGAGGTGGGAGTCAGAGCTGACAACCAGGATGATGAGCAGGTTCCCGAGCACTGTGACCAGGTACATGGACAGGAACAGTCCAAAGAGGACGGGCTGCAGGCCTGAATCCTCGGAGTAGCTCATGAGATAGAACTCTGAGATGCGTGTGAGATTATATCTTTCCATGTTTCTTGAGCACGTTTAAATAAAGTTCATTTCAAAAATGAAACGAAAGTATCCCCCGAACTCTTCATATACTCTTAGCTCAAGCATTCACAAACAAAGAATTCCTAGCAGAGAGCCACAGTCTTCATCAATATGCTCTATCGTGATAAAACCCAACCTCTAGGACTCATTAGTGGTTGATTTGTATTCCACCTCCTCTGTGTTCTCTCAATTTTCTCATACTGTATTGCACAGTGCTAGCTGCTCTCAGACATAAAGTCCTGAAGTCCTGGATCACAGTAAAATGTGGGAAGCTTTTATCCAAAATATATAGAGGGTAGTTAAGCCATCCTCCTTTAAGAAAATCTGATCCTATTGGAAGAAAATTGAAAAGCATTCAAATATTCTGCATTTCATACTTGTAAAATGCTAGAAATTTCCTTGATTATGGTGTCTACAAGTTGTATCAAATCTAGGACAGCATTATCTGAAAATTAAAATTGTTAGTTCTCTTCAGGCAGTATCCTCTGTTTTGAGCTATTGTTTTAAAACATAATAAAATTTTCACTTTTGTTGGTTTTTTCTGACTTCATCTTTAAAGAATATAAGAGCTTACCCAGGATTTGTAACTATATTGTGTATAAATTTTGTTTGTGCATAATTCATTCAATATGAAACTTTTATCCTTGTCTTTATTGCATTCAAATTCTTATATCACAGGTTCAGATACATTCACAGTCTTCAGACAAAATTACCAGAAATGTAGATTACTCTACCCTGCATATGTCAAAATAATAAAAGATAAGAAGCACCTTTGCCTTTTAAAATTTTAGACAGGTGTACTTAATCACACAATATCAGTAAAATATGTGCTATATAAGATATCTCTTCCTTGATTTTAGTCTACCATAGCTTGATTAAAAACTTTGCTGCTGTCATGAGCATAAACCTTCTTGTATCCAGTGGACCACATTGGAAATTAAGAAACTCCCAAGGCTCTGGCGGAGTTCCATCATTCCTACTTCTAACGAAGAGTTTTTCCTATCAATCTCACCTGAAACATGAGTTAAACTTTTCATATTTCAGCTATGTGATGGAACCTGGGACCCATATTTTTTCAGGCCATTCTGTGATTTAATTGAGAAAACCCCAAAATAGAATATGAAATAATGTATGCACACCTTAAAACTCAGTCACAAAAAAGAAAGGTATATAAAATATTGTAAACACACACAAAATAATGTACTTCCTCTCATCTGTAAAATGGGAATAAGAATTTAAATGGAAAATGGGGAAAAATTAAGAACCAAGACACCTCATGTCAATGTACACATTACAGTGATGAATGTAACTATATCATATAATGACAGTGCACTAATTAAGTTAATAAAAAAAGAAAAAAACTTGAGAATTATTTAATTTTCATCACTGTTGATTCTAATTAGGACTATATTTATCTGGAGATATAGGAATATCTCCAGATAGTTTAGGTCTAGTCTAATATACTAATCAGAATATTTACATCTCAATTTTTGAGTCATTTTCTTAAATGCAAGTTGACAATCACTGTCTGAGAATATTTGTGGGTATTTAGACAATTTCCAATTCATATTATCTATAGATATTAATGTAAATATTAATATTTACATCAGTATTATTCTTTATATATATGAAGAATTACCTAAAAATGTGAGTACTTGTTATCAATTTCTTTTTTCTCCTGTCCTCAAAGGAATTTGTTGTTATGAATTTTATGGGTAGATTTTCTTTCAATGTATCCCAGTCAACACTGATTGATGAATCCCCAAGCAATTTTCTTAAAAATTTACCTAAACCTACACCTTTGGTCCTTTTCTTCCTGTTTCAGGTTGCATGTAAAGGTACAAGATCCCAGTAATGAATGTAACCATACCGTCTACCTAAATGTACCAATAAATTCAATTTAATTTAAAAAATTACCTAAACCTGAGTTAAAAGCATCCTAGGAGTGTGTTACAGCACTTCTATTGCCCCCTCAAATAAATTAGGTTATATTTATATATAGTGGTTTTACATCCTCTTCAACCATTTCACAGCCTTATCAGAGAGGAAGGTTAGGTAGAGAGTCCTCATTTACCTTGTCAGTTGATTATTATGAAAACATTTGCAAAATCATTGTGCTTCTTTCCCTGCCATTCATATTAAAATTGTTATATTTTATATTGCAGTGATATTTTCCTGATTTCCAACAAATTGCACAGGTAAAATTTGAATGTTTTCACAAAATAGGTGACTCATTTTTATCTGCATACACTCATTCATCAGAATAACTTTCAAAATATGCCTGCCACCTTTTCAGTAATGACCTCTATGATTTGATACAAAGAACTTTCATCATCACCTGAGGAATGTCATTTCCATTTTGCTTCAGTTTTGGAGAGTATGTCAAGGGATGGCACTGAAGAAATGAGTGTGCTAGTGTGACCTGTTTCTAAGGGCAGAATGAGTGTGAATCTTTCTTCCTTTCTGTGCCCATAATGATTGAGGAAAACAAGGAGAATTGCCTTCATCCACATGTGTGGCAACTAAAGAAACTTAAAACTGAACTATGTAGCAGTTGTGAGATTTCTTAGCCTCAATTGTATTAATTCCTGCTGTGACATTCACAATTTCCTCCCTTGTATGAGCCTTAGGCTTGAATTGTTCTTTTCCTTGAACTTTGAGTTTCAACATTAGGTTGTTTATTTGAGCTTGCTCTCTTGTCCTGATGCGAGAGTTCATGGCTGTAAATTTCCTTGTAGGGCTCCTTTCATTGCTTTCCAGAAGTGGGATTTTGCTTTGAAAATAAAGATGTGCACCATTAAGAAAGTAGAAAGTTTATTACTGTGGTGAAGTGCATGCTAATGGCATTGGCCCCTGAAATGATATGAAGTTTTTAATCTATCTAAGTTTGAGGTATAGTCATCCACTTCCTTCTCTTTTTGCCTTTAAAAAAGCACACATGAATATCTTTGACATGTTTTGTTTTGCAATAACTCATAGAGGTATAATTAAGTGGATTATAGGACACAGAGAAAAAAACAAAGGCAACTTTGTCTTCTCTTTATATCTATGGGATATTTGTGAAAGGGATGGAACTGCAGACAGTAAGATACCTAGCATCTTCACATCAGTATTAGTAAGGACAAGTATAGTGACTCAGGGAAGAGTCCCCTCAATGTCTTAATTTTTGAAGTCCCCTTTGTGCCACACAAGCTATCAGTCTGTAAAATCAGCTGTAAATGACAGTACATCATCCCTCTCCAAACATGCACATGTAATTACACAAACACAAAAAAGTGTCCTGCAACAGAAATAGGAAAGGTGCAACTGAAGGACCCAAGAGATCACTAGTAAGAATATACTTATCACTGATAGTAATGATAGCTATATTTTAATTTACTCTAATTTTATACCCATTAACCCAAAATAGAGCACTCCTCATCTGCATAATCCTTACAGCAGTTGCATCAAGTATAATTTCACACTAATACAAATGCTCTTTCAGAGATATTAAAAATCTCCCTTCCATCACAGATATACTAAGCACAGCTCAAAGGATTAAAAAATTATTTGGCAGATGCTATATGATACACTGAAATTTTTCATTGTTTCCAAAGCACAGAAAGATTTATACAGAGGTTCAGAGTTGCTAACACAAGCGCTTCAGAGGTACATCTGGAGCACTCATTTCTTCAAGAAATGAAATCAGGAGATGAATTTCCCTCATTTGAGTTGGGAAATAAGTGCAAGCATGGAGAAGGATGTAGGAAGCTCAAAAATATCCCACAGTGGTGGCAGGAGTTAAAGTTCTGCTTAGTGCTCAAGGGAGCCTTCTCTCAGATCTTTGCCTGTCATCTGCATTTGGATTTCATGGTTGCAGCCAGGGTCATTCATGGCTCTGCTCTGTTCACCCTCAGAAAACGCCAACAGATAGGGCACCATTCATATGGGATCTGTCTGGAAGTGACAGAGAGTGAATTGTCTTCTTGTGCTAAGAGACAACCTCACAGAACTACCCCCGTGTCTGTAACCAGACAACCCAATTCTAACAACTCGTCTTTCTACATAACAACCTAATGCAGGTTCCATTCAAATGAGAGATTTTCCATTTTTTACAACCAAAACAATGAAAGCAAATAATACTCCAACAAGATATAGAACATAAAATAAACAAGACCCATTGAAGGAATTGCTCAGTGCCTGGGACTATCCCTGGGAATTTGTATGTGGAAAATATGAAGCCATCAAATGCAGTTCATGATGTTATAGTTAATGT